GAAAGGATAGGAAACCCCCCCCCCCCCCCCGCCCCCCCGCTTGCGCGTTCCGCCGCAGAACGCCTCTGCTCAAACATCCCCGAAGGCCCCGGCTCCCTGTCCCACCTCGACGGCGACACGGCGGTCTCGCACGACTCGTTGGAGGGGGCGTTTCCCCCCGCGGGGTCGGTTTGGGACGGGGTGGACCGCTTCATGACGGGGAGAAACAGAAACCCTTTTTGCCCCGTGAGACCCCCCGGGCACCACCCCGCCACCCGGGGGCTGGTGACGTGCCCCAACGATGCCACGGGTTCCCACGGTTTCTCCCTACTCAACAACGTGGTGAGAGAAAAGGGAGACGGGAGGGGGGGGGGGGGGGTTACTCGGGCGTCTTGTTGTTGCTTCGTTTTTTTTTTCACGTTTTATTGGGTTCTTGGTGGTTTGATAACGATGATTTGATGATTCAGAGGCCAGTCTAGTGCCCCTTTTTGGCGTGTACGTTTGACATACTGTTATGAGCCGGGGATTTGGTCACACAGGAGGAAGGTATCTATTTATCACATCTATCACAGGAGCGTTTCTTTGGGGGGGGGTTCGCTCTGCGCTCTATCGTTGATCTTGAGAAGGGAGAGAGGGGGCCGAGGTTGTGTGTGTGTTTTTTGTGTTTGTGCTTTGTCGTTTCGTACGTACTGTTTTTTCGTTTTCGGCTGTCCATTCTTTCACCGTCGCCTCGAAGCTTGTGCCTGCCCTGTAGTCTTGCCCTCTATGTAGAGCGTTGGACGAAGTTTTGTATTGGTAAAAAAATTAGAGTGACGTTTGCGGGAGGGAGCACGTAACGACTCTCGCACACACGCTCTACACTCAATGCTTCGCTCCTTGCTGCTCTTAGGCAGGTAGCTGCCGCTCCGTGGTTTAGTATATTTTCTGACTTGGCCCTCGCCTCTCCTCTCTCTCTCTCTCTCTCTCTCTCTCTCTCTCTCTCTCTTTCTCTCTCTTCATGTCTGTCTCTCTCTTGCTCCGTTTCCCCCCTTCTTGTTTTGGTGTGTACACATGGCTACGAAGGCGATCGGAGCGGCATACGCGAGGTGTGTCCACCGGCACACCGGGGTAGAGCGAGTGGCTATCGTAGACTTCGACGTGCACCACGGTAAGCCACCGATATATTGTACAAGTACTGCTGTACGCTCTCTCTCCCTTGAGACTTCCACTTTATTCTCGTTTCTGCCGCTACTCGTATGCATAGACGTGAAGCAGGTTTGTGTCGTGAGACAACAGCAGCTCTCTTGTGCTTGGTGACGGCGCGGTTGCGGGGGGTCGAGGGTTGGGGTACGAAGGGGGGGTACGGGGGGGTAGAATCTCTCCCGCCCCACACACACGCCCATTGTTCCGCGCGTTGTTGGCGCGAGCTCAACAATGGATGACAGCAGTAGTGTGTGACTGGGCCTCTTGGCAGCGAGAAGAAGTGGGCATCGCCGCCCGGCTGCCGTTGTTTTTTCCGGTGGTGTTTCTTGTTCGTTTTGTTCTTACCGCATATGGCACAAGATGACACACCCCCTGGACCGATTTTCAAAGCTCGATTACGCCACGACGAAGAACGTGCATAAACGAAACGAAACGTTTTCGGAAATCTCTCGACGAGACGGCTTCAACGCCACCGACGAGACGGCTTCAACGCCACCGACGAGACGGCTTCAAAGCCACCGTTTTCGGCGCTGTGATTCTTTCTGCTGTTGAGAAATCGAGATTTGAATATCGGTCCAGGGGGGGTGTTATCTTGTGTCATTTACGGTGTATATGTCGTCGGAGCGGATTGTAACGGTTCTGACGTTCTGACAAGAGCGAGGGATAGGGACAGTACAGCGGTTGGAGAGGTCGTGTGAGACGCGAGATCGTCGTTTCGGTCTCTCTTGTGTTCTTCTTGTGCAGGCAGCTATTGTAGCTGGCCGGTATGGCAACTTTTTTTTATTCCTACCAGTATCTCCCTTTCGGGGGTGAGGGAAGAGAGAGAGAGGGATAGATCAGCAGCCTCGGCAGGGTTTTTCTGTTACGTAACATGTTGGATATAGCATACAATCGGGGAAGTTGGGTTAAGGGTTATGGTTAGGGTTAGGGAATACGGTTCGCGTCCCCCCTCTCTGTTCTGTTTCCTCATTAACTTATTAGTCGCGCGAAGGCGGTCCGGAGAAAAAAACACGGGGTGCGTGGCCGCCGAGCTCGAGGGGGGTTGCGGTTGTTGTTGCAGGTTGTTGCTGTTGGCCTTGCACTCTTGCACCATCATCGTGTTGGAGAAGATAGCTATTTCCGGGGTGGTGGTTTGCTTATATTGCCGACAAAGGTGGGGGTCACGTAGAGGTGCCGGCGTGTGGTAGTAGGGGAGGGGGGGGGGGGGGTACTAGTAGGGGGAGTTATTTTTTCTTGTTTCTTCCACACCTGTGGAGATGGAAAAGAACAAACACCCTCCGGCGACGCTTTTGCTGGCTACACCTTGTCGGCAACGAAGGGGGTGACGCAGACGCGGTGCCTGTGTATGGTCAGTAGGTGGTCGCAACCCAGGGTCCTACGGCTGAAACTCAACACTCCCACCCCCCCCGCGCTTTTTTTGTCATGAAACCGAGCTTGGACTGGGGCTGGGCCGAGAATTGCAGTTGGTGCTGCAGCAGCAGTGCCGTTTTTCTTGAGATACATACGTGTGTGTGTTTTATTTGCGTTGGTTTGTGTATGCCAAGTCCTTGAGCTGCGTCTACGCTGGTCCTCTTGCCCCTCATTTATGTGGTACGAGAGAACGGCACGGAGAGGGCGTTGTTTTTTGCATGCGTAGCTGAGCTGCGCACACGCCACACCCCTTTCTTGTTTTATGACGTGCCTCTTGTATTATTGTTGTGTACAGGTAACGGTACGGAAGCCATCGTCAAGGCTCTCGTGCCAAAGGTGGAAGAGGCCAGCATTAAGACGCCTTTCTGTCAGGGGCTGTTGCAGCAGGTGAGCACGTCGTAATACGATCGCCAAAGGCGGGGCCCAAATGGGGGGTACTGCTGTGTTGCTTGGCCAACCGGTTCAAGCTCGGTTTATTGGTTCTCAATTTCGAACCGTTGTTTGTTTCCGAAAGCGAACCGGTTCAAGCTCGGTTTAATGGTTCTCAATTTCGAACCGTTGTTTGTTTCCGAAAGCGAACCGGTTCAAGCTCGGTTAATGGTTCCACTTCTTGAAAGTCTTTCAACAACGTACCCCTATTTTTGCATGAACATCGTTCCTATTTAGTCCTATTAATAGTAGAGGCACCGCCAACATGTAGGCGCTCTGTCTTGTTTGTCCTGGGAATGATCTTCCTTTCTGCGTAAGTAAATACCAGATGGCCTGTGGTTTTTTTTCTCGTATGTTTTCGTCTGCTGGGCGTCGGGTTTTCGCGAGACGTTTGATGCCGGCCTACAATCTACGCACAGCAGCACCATGCTATGGTAGGTGTTTTGTCCACGGTGTGGTGTTTTGTTTGCACCATGTTTTTTTTTTTTTCGGTTGCCCACCGGAGCAAACGTTCATGTCTTGGTCCCCCCCGCACCCCAGTGTTTGCGAAGATCAAGTGGCCATGTCACATCCTTAAGCTATCCCTTTCCTGCCCTGAAAACAATAGCAATGCATGCGAAGAGGAATGCTTGCAAAGAGCACCTCTATCCCCAACTTACCCTCAAAGAAAAAATACGTGGCAAGTAGGGGGGGGGGGTGCCTGCTTGTCGGCCCTCGCTTGGCACCGCTGATCCAAGCCGCGGACCTATACCCCCCCCCCAACATCCCCCGCCGGCTTTTAAATTTATTGGG